GCCGATAATGCTGAAGTAAACGAGATGTTTGCGGTTGAATTTATGATTTTAATTTTAGACCAAAGGCATTTCAACTAGCCAAATAAACCATTGTGCCTTTCTTGGAAAAGTACAAATTTGAATTTTATAGCACAACTTGTTACATTGAAATTTACGCTCTTAAAATTGTACTCTTATAGTCGACAATATATGAATAAGCTTTTGCACCAAAAATTAAGTTATACTTGGGAAATCTTGGGAAAAAGCCGATATGTAAATAAAAAAAATCCTCGCGTTATCAAATCTGCGTAAAGAGTTAGGCTTGATTTCTACGTCGCATTCAGTTTATTGTAATTAAAACTCACTGAACTCTCTTTAAATCAACACAATTCCCACACAAATAGCCAAAGTAGAATACGTTGGTGTGGTGTGTATATAGAGGTTATTCAGCGGAATGTATGTTGTGCTGGGTATTTTTACGAGTCAGTTTTTATTTTTTCGAGCCTTTAGGCGAGAAAAAATAAACACTGACGAGTAAAAATACCCAGCCGTATTACACAACTTTCCGCTGAATAAATTGTTTATTATACGACATAATATCTTTCCTAAAATACAGGCTTTCAACAGTGTTTTCCGTAGCGCGCGGTCAGGGGACTGAGACCCGTGTAATACGGTCTCATATTTGCTCTCGTCTTTGTGCGTATTCGCACTCTAAAATGCCATGTCGTATAATAATACAACGTAATTTAATCAACGTTTAATTTACGACGTATTTAGGCCTTATTGTGTGTGTGTTATTTTCTACTGCCATTTGCGATGAATATCGATGATAGCTCGATGATTCTGATGTTGTTCTTTTTCATTTGCAGGATGAAGGAAGTAACTCGTGTTATAAAGGGACAAAGAAGATGTACAATCTAGCAAACTATCTCAGTTCGCCCAATGAAGACAAGATATTGAACAATTCAAATAAAGTTAAAGTGTGCAGTTCATTTCAGGCAGCGCTTTATTAGCTCGAAAAAAAAACTAAGTCTTTTGGCGGGAAAATCACTGCGCTTTTGAAAGGAGCCTGGTAATGTATCAAAAATAAACTAAGTCTTTTGGCGGGAAAATAAAAAAACTTCGAAAATAAACTAAGTCTTTTGGCGGAAAAAATAGTCTGCGCTTTTGAATGGAGTCTTCAGTATTGAGTCAAAAATAAACTAAGTCTTTTGGCGGAAAAATCTGTGCGGTAGCAGCAGATTTCAACCATCAAAAGATGTCGTTTATTCTGATTTGTTTTACTGGACCCTGTTTAAAAGTGCGGAAAATTTTCCCGGCTCGGCAACCCTCCATAGGCAAAATATATAAAAAGAGAGCCTACATTCTTACTAGTTTCCAGGCTCCTTTCAAAAGCGCAGATTTTTCTTGTAAATAAAGCAAGACTCATTTATTGACTACAAGTGTTTGTTTATTTCAACTTTTTAATTACAAGAATATTAAAACTATTATACAATGTTGTAAGTGTTAATTATATTTCTAAGTATAACAAAACATTTTTTTTTACAAAGATAAATAGAAATGAAATAAGTACAAGGCAAAAATATCACTATTGAAACTAAGTTTTTTAGCGATAAATTGTACACTCACAAAATACTTCAGGTTTGGAAATAATTTTCTGCTAATTTGTTAACAAGTTTTTTGCAAGCAAAATAAATAATTAAATACTAAGTGTCGAAAACTTTGATTTCATAGGTAAAATACGCCCTAAACGCGGACCCGTGCAATAATTGATGGGAATTACGCAGAATAAACGTTCTTTAAGGCAAAATTTGTGCACCATTTCTTTTGGTATATATTCAACAAATTAATATCAAAATTGGTAATAATGAAGTGATGTTAGAAAACGCGTGAAATAAAGTTTCAAGACAGTTGGATGCTTGCCAACTTTTCTGTTGATTCTTGGTGCACAATTTGTGTAGAATTTGAAAACAATCTTGGTAAATTGTTAAATACAATTGTGATCGTAATTTCTTCTCAATATCTAAATTCAAGTCTCCTATTTAATATTGCACGGGTTTAAACGTTAAACTAATATATCAACTAACAAAATCTCCTTGCTGGTTTTCCCCAAATTTGTTAATACAAGTTGGGAGAATTTGGCAGTATATTGAGACAATTTTCTGTGCGGATCAATAAGATAATTCTCCTGGCCTTGACGCCTAGTATTGTACTGATATGTTGAAGAGAAACTAGTTGTCAATCGCTTTTACGGTAAAACTACTGTTGTTTACCTAATAAAAGCCCAGCAGAGAACGAAAACTTGTTCAAATATGATTCAGCATCTACTTCATGTCAGCTGGCATCTGTTGTCCATTGCAATCCGGAGCAAGTGACGGCCTGAGGAAAAATAAAGGAAATCCATGTCAACAATTGATAGTATTTTATTTATCGTTTGTATTCAACAAGCATTGTACAGGACTGGGGGATAATTTTACAAGGTTTAAATCACGTAAACTAGTGTGACTGAATCATTCGCGGAGGGAGAAGTAACATTTTTAAAACTTTTATACCTTTGAAAAATACCGAAAAAAAATTGCTAATGGCTACTTGGTGTGCGTGACAAAATAATTTACATATTGTTGTATTCACGACAGGGCATGATGGTTTCATCATGATATTATAATGCAAATCAATCACCTGATTTCTGTGGAAGTAAACAACTTAAAATCCACGAAGATTTTATAGTGTGCGAAGCAAAAAACCGTGAACACTTTGATTTAACTTTGACATGATCAAACCGCAAGAAGAATAGTCAGGAAACTCAAATTTACACTTTGTTTTTGGCAGAAAAGCTTTGCGAAAGTAGCAATAACTGATAAATACAGAGAAAAAATAGACCAATTTTTGGCAAAGTGGTTTCGAAGTGTTCACGCTTTTCTGATTCGCCACAGTAAAGAAACATTTCTTCGTGTGCTGCTCAACGTTTTTACATGTATTTAATCATGTTCCTGAAATTAATTAGAGATATTTTCGCTCTCAAATATTATTTTTACGTGATTTTTGCGCATGGACTTGACTTTTAGAGCGAACCAATTTTACGAGATTTCTTGTCATTGTTTACACCCTGGCCTGGCTAATTTACATTATAATATGAAAACAAAATGGCGGCGATAGTGAATGGCACGCTGAAGTTCATTCAAGGTCAACCAAAACGATAGGGGGGGGGGGGGGGGGGGGGGGGGGGGTGTGCAAGTCCTCGAAACATGCCAAAAAAAACTTTTAGCTTTCAAGAATGCAGACAAATTTAGAAAAACAACTCTCTAATTATAAATGATAAGGAAAAAAATCCTAATTGAGTCCCAACAGTGGAACATTTGTTGATTTAAGAGCTTGGCTATTTTAACATCAATAAAGTGTGTAAATAATTTGATGTGTTTTTTGTTGTGCTACCGCATAGCTGTAATTGAGCCTGCAGTGCAAATAAATCGTGCAAACGAGGCAAAACGAAATAAATTCCTTTTGCAGTGAAATCCTGATACTTGTACCCCATTCACACCAATTAAACATGTTGCTCAATCAATTAAAATATTGAAAATGGGTCCCAGAATTCATGAAAGCCTTACTTTTACACAGAGTTACAATATGCTTCCCGCTCATGATCATGTGATCATGTCAAGACAATTAACCTCTGAAAGCAAACGTTTATAATGCATTGTTTTTCAACGATGTTAACGTAAATATAACAGCTTTACACTGCATTGCAAGCCTAAGTTTGAGATCTGGTGTGAATGGGCTAGATTTGACACCGTTTCGAGTACCAACGACTGATAAAACTGATTCGCTTAAAATATCAGGATTGTAACGGGAATCAATCAACTCACCTTCTCTCTGTGACTGATTTCCCTCTTCAGCTGGAACACGGCATTTGTTAATCTGTAAAAAAATAATAAAACAACGTAAGTGATTATACCATTCTTGACAGAAAAGGTGACCGTTTTTTTTAATTCCTTTCATAGAAAATGGTTCCCCCTTTCACATACCTACAGTTGAATTTAAAATACTGGATGAATCAGCCGTTAGGTGCGTCTGTTCGACATATTTTGAAAGGCCTTTTTAAATAACAAAATGAGAGTTTTCCACGGCTATCCGCTTCTATACTATCAACTTGTGAACTCCTTACGCTTTTATATACCTCCAGCCTGAAAAAGGTACCCCTTTCAGGGCGGAATCTCCCCGTATAGTCCATTATAGGGAGTAAGAACCCCCCCCCCCCCCCCCCCCCCCGGCTCCCCCTGGTGTACGTATATAATTCGGTTTACAAGTAAAAACTAACAAATGCAGACATACTAGTTTTTCTTCAACGCTTTACGCTTTCCAAGAGAAAAGCTAACTCAGTAAAGATACCTCTACGAAATACAATAGCTTCATATGGTTTCTTACCTCGATAAGGAGTCAAAGACCAAATGCAAAGAGTACATTGCGGCATCTTTCAGTTGTTCAGACGCGGCGAAGCATGTGCTTACAAGTTTTGCTTGAACTAAAGTTCTTGTCCACTGAGCTAATTGTGTTTCGTTACAGCTCCAAGCGTTGAAACTCCTAAACTGCAGCTTGCTTGAAGCTTTCCTGAAGCAATGGCCGGGGAAAAGGATACTTTTCTGCTTGTAACTTTTAACGTGGATGGCAAAGCGAACACGACACGACAGTTTATCACATGTATAATTTACAATTTAAATTTTCACAAGGCTTGGTTATCACACGACAAGCTGTTGTTTCAATGCGACTATTTCATTGGTTCTCTTCCATTATAATAAGATGCGGGAAATTCAAAATTTTGAATATGCGATTCCCAAGTTGCCTTTCGCCTTTGTTTCAAAATGAGGTCTGGTGCAAAGCCTTTCGCAAATAGTAAAAAAAATGAAATGAAATGAAAACGAACATTTGTTGATTCTCCATAGGAAGAAAATTTTTGAAACTACAATTAGAATTGAGAAAGATATCATTCAATCAATGACACAAACTACTCGAAAAAAATTTACAAGTTCTCCTAACGGGAGACGAACCTATGACGGCCTTCCTCAAATCGGTCGGACGCTCTACCACTGAGCTACACAGGAGACTCGTAGGAGCTTAGACCATATAACGAGGTTCAAATGTGACAAACCGTTCCCGAACTGTACTGCTAGGATTAGTTTTGTCGAAATGTCAGAGATATGCAAAGGAAAAAATGATGGTAAACTAAGCTTGGTAACTCAATAAGAAAGATTCAATCAGTGACACAAGCTAATCGGAAAAAAAATTATAAATTATTTCTTGAATTATTCGTTAAACCGCGTGAGAGGGTCCTTATGCATGGGGTGCTGGATTCTCAGTGATCAGTTAAAGTTAAAATTTTAGCCATCATTTCTCAGCTATCAGTTAATTTTGACAGATCTCATTCTCAGCTATCAGTTAAATTTTTGGTCATTTCTCGGCCATCAGTTAAACTCCATCCTCGAGCGAGTATGATACCAGGGTGCAGCTACCATATACACACATAAGCACGTGTACGTGCACCTGAAATCTGACAAAAAAAAATATATTGGACTTTTAAAAATTTCTTTGACCTTAGCGAGACAACGCAAGGTGTATCTCAGTTGGTTAGTCTATCCTGCGCATCTGCTTGTCACTGGGCGGGCGTGTGCGGTGCTTGAAGTTCCCGCCAAAACTGCCACTGCTAAATGCATCAGTTATTTGTCTAAATTTGCATAATTTTTTCACCAGTTTTGTCGACTCGTATTTTGGTTTGTTGCTGTTAATTGTAACATTTTGATTTTCTTAACAACAACTGCTCGAAAGCGGTTGTACTCAATTCAACTGTTTAATCCCATAATAAATACAGGTAAAGTTAAAAGCCGCACTCTGGGCCAAACTGGTCAGTTCCTTAGCATGAAGCCGAGTATTGCTACTCCCCATCGCAGGTTACCTCCAGCATTTTGTTGCCAGTACCCATTTATACTCCTGGGCGGAGATAGGCACTGTGAGAGTAAAGTGTCTTGCCCAAGAACACAATGACCCAGACCAGGGCTCGAACGAGGACGCTCGATTGCAAGTCCAACGCGCTCGCTCAACAAGGTCAACGCGTCTCTCCTATCCCATAATATGCAACTCAACATACGAAAAGACGAAAACGCGCGCAACGCGAAAAGCGCGGGAATAGACACTGTCGGTTGCGACAAAAAACTGAAGCTGAATGCGACAATGGTGCATGACGTACATGGTAGACTACTTACAGAACTGGACTGGACTTTTGCCATATACCCAGTAAGTACTAATTCTCTTTATAAAGCTTATCCTTGTATTCTAATGGACCGTAATTAGAACTTACACAATGGCTCGAACTCCGAACTCCGGGACAGCTCGATCCAAACGCGCGCTAACCATCTGAACAGGCCACAAGCTGATTGAAGTCAGTTTCTAGGCCTCATTTGATGTAGTGTCAATAAGCTTTAAGCTGATCTTGCCTGTTTCATAAAATATTTTTTGTCCGCAGAGCATGAACTGCTATTGAATAGCGAATGAACAAACACTGTAAAATGAACAACTATTATAAAATTTAAGCTTAATTCATTCGACGGTAAGCCTTAAGTTAAATTCTTCTTTGCATTCAGTTGCTAAACGCGTCTAGTATGATAAATTTTCACATCGTGGGATGACGTTTGCAAGCGACTTAAAACCTTTTTTATTCCCACTAGTGAACATTTGTTCTTTGGGAGTGGCATTTGACCGTCAAATCTGGCACCTAATTATATAAGATAGGGCATTTGAACGCAAGTTTGGCCCGGGGGGCGGGAATTTGAACGAGTCAATCTTCAAAAGTTCAAATGCCCGGGAGGTTGCCGGGGGGGGGGGGGGGGGGGGGATGGTGAAGCTTCGAATTGATCGGCGCATTATATATAAGCTTATGGAAAAAATAATTGGAAAGGACTTTAGAAAGTCTATACATAAGCTTACAGGTATCCATTTTCTGTCACACAGTCGTGGGACTGGACTGGTTATACAATTCAAAAGTTGAACTCAGAGTTGAACTATAATCACTCTCTCTTCACTAACAGCTGATCTGTTAGTGTTAATTTTTATTTTTACTTTCACAGTTGAATGTACATTAGAGAAATGGGATAATTAAATTACTTCAATGTCTAGATCAAACAATACTACTTTACAAAAGTATATTGATCAATTAATTATTTAGAAACTATTAATTTTGATATGTTATCTAAAAATAATTTATGCTTTCAATTTTTGAATGCTGATTTTTTCAGCATCTAACTATTAACTATAATTTAAAACATAATTAACTTATTGTGCTTTATAAGCAAGTTTAATTGCAATCTGTTCCTTTCCCCGAATAATAAGTCTAGTAAGAAACCAAATGAAACTACTTATGGCCTGATCTGGCTCCTCCAAATACTCCGATACCTAGAATTATTATATAATTAATGGACTACAGTGAACTCTCTCTAAGACGGATACCCTCGGGACCAGCTCCAGCTGTCCACCTTATGGAGGTGTCCGCTTAAAGAGAGTTAATTTAGTTAGAGAAAAACAAGTGAAATTCAGCCGGACAAGCCAAGCCAACCATGTCCGCCTTAGAGAGGTGTCCGCCTTACAGTGGTGTCCGCTTTGAAAGAGTTCACTGTATACCTACTTTAACCCGCAAATATCAATGTAAATGGGTATTTTGTCAAAAGCAACATTTCTTCTAATTCATTCTTTTGGTTTATACTACCTGCCTGACTGATCAAATAATAAATATTATTATATTATTATTTCAGACTTTGATCTATGAACTAGAAAAACAAACTAGAAATCATCTGTAACTATTGACAGCCTTTTTCTATGCTGTTTGAACCAATATTTTTCTTGGGTGGAAATTAACTTAATAACCTGTCAGTTTACACTCTTCAATACCACCCAATTCTAAATAGGGGGGTTAACACGTACTGACATGGGAACACAATAACCCATCATTCATTCATTGTACGCGAGTGAAATGATTTTGACCGTGAACCAGTCTTTGCATTCCCTTCTGCGTGAGAGCCTGTGCTCTTTGTTCTCCAAAGCCGTCTGCTCCAGGCCGGATGACTGAGAGGTTCTGATTCTTGTTCAATGTCCAGCTCTGTTGTCAACTTGTCCTTTAGTTCTGCAGGCAACTATGGGTTAAAAAGGCAAAACAAAACCATGTATCAGTCACAGATCCCTGAGAGTACTTGGGCCTCCCTGAAATTTTTGGTGGCATTGTTCGTGAAACAGGCTTACAATCAACTCTCTCTTAACGGACACCTCTCTAAGACGGACACCTCTGTAAGACGGACACTTAGTGTTGGTCCCTGCGCACCATTTTTCAGTCATGTTACTGTATCTAAACTCTCTGTAAGTGGACACCTCTCTAAGACGGACAGTTTGTGCCGGTCCCGATGGTATCCGTCTTAGAGAGAGTTAATTCACTGTACCCTATTTCAGACCAAAATATGTTATTTTCCATGCCCTATTTCGGACCTCTACAATATTATTAGTTATCGTACATCTATGTGCTCACCATATCCATTTTCTGAGACACAAACTTTCTGTCCAATGACTGGTTACACTTCAAAAGTTGAACTACCAATGAGCAATCCTTTTTATTTTTCATCTACAATCAATAAATATAAACAAAAAAAACAAATGATCATGCACTAATGGCTGCAGTATATACTTTCAATAATTTTATCCAGCATCATAGGCATGCAATGCATGCAAAGTGTGCCAATGACACTAGATCATGGATGATACAGTGGAACCCCGCCTTATGGACACCTCGCTATTATGGCCACTTCATTTTGACCCAAACAAAAGCTCAGTCAGTCATTTTCTTATTTAAAGAACCCCACCCCGTTAAAACGGCCCTGAGTTTTCTTTGGCCCGTAGGTGTCCGTATTAACAAGGTTCCACTGTACGTAAAGCCTTCATGAGCCTATACTGGCCCACAACTGCCAGAGCTTATATATCCCAGTTTAGTCCCAGAGAATTGTTACTCGAACTCTCCCTGGATATGGGAGCATTCCCATCCAGGGAGAGTGGATACAGTAAAAACCCGCGAGTAAGAACCTGAAAATTAAGAACCTGTTAGCCTAAAATTTGTCATTTAGACCCCCTATGAACAAGAACCTATTTAGCCTAGAAAATGAAAAACAGGTTCTTATTTTCTAAAATCATATTAGTGATCAAGAATCCTGTTTGGAGAAATAGGAGCTTGCCATTGCTGTGCAAATAAAAGTGCAAATTTATTGATGTAATAAAAAAAATAAAGTGCAAGAGTTTGTTTTGTAGCTGGATTTTATTTGTTTTTCCACAGAAATAAGAACCTATTTAAGAACCTAAATAGCCTAAAATTGTGTTAACTACCATTTAAATAAGAACCTGTTTAGGCTAACTCCAAAAAATGTAGGTTCTTACTCGCGGGTTTTTACTGTAATATGTTACAAAATTACTATAAACAAATTAAAACTTACATTTAGTCAAACAATCAGAAATAAATTATAACCACACACAATGTTGACTTACTGATTCTCTCTCCAACTTGTTCATTTTCTCAACAAAGTCCATCAACTGCTCTGACATGGCCCCAACTGTTTCTTCAAAGTGGGATTTCTCCAACTGCAGTTCACCGGCCTGTTGATATAAACAGGAGTATTCATATACATTAGCCTTTTGAGTGACTTGTAGACAGAGGAGTGCCGCTACTCCCCTGGATCAGGATGCTAGTCCATTGCAGGTAACCAGAATTTTTTCTCAGGTTGCCCTGGGTGGAGAGAGCGGCAATGTGAGAGTTAAGTATCTGGCATTAAATGCCCAAGAACACAACACAATTACCCTGGCCAGAGCCTAAACCTGAACTGCTCGATCCGAAGTCCAACAAGGGAATTAGGGCACGTACTGCACCTCCCACAGGAGTACAGGTAAAGGCAGTGGCGGATACAGGGGGGAGGGTCTGTGGGAGGCCCCCAAACACCTCCCTTCGCGCCGTCTACTTCCAAACATTTTCCTTCAAATTATCTACTTCACATTTTTCGGAAAACCCTGGGACCTCCCCTATCAAAA